TGGCCTGCTGTGTTCATCCAGCTCTACACCTTGTTATCCCAGACTCCAGCATAGGCAGTTCCTACTATCTCCTCATGAAGAAAATGAGGCTTGGCTCTTAACGCTAATTTCTTTCCTATTGATTGAAAATGCACCAGTGAGAATCAGATGAGAGTAGGATTGAATTTATTTGCAATATCCTCTGTAACAGTATATTCTTTTATAATTCACTTCTTAGTCTCCCAGAATGATCCAAAAAGGAAGAAGATCTCCATGTTGAATGAAGTTAGCAGAGAGTATTTTTCAAACATATCACCAGATACCACAGTGCTTGCAAGACTCAAACATCAATTTTCAAGGGCCATTCCTCTATTATAGAGATGTAGATGGGCTAAACTATGTGATTGGCTCCTGACAGCCAAACATCTAGTTTAAATTCATGTTTTCCAGAGGGCAGCATGGAATGACAGCCTCAGCACAGTTTGCACTGCTCCAGATGAGGCACATGCAAGCATGTACAGAGATCATCGCCCCTCAAGGTAGACTATTGGAAAACATAAATAATCAGAAGCTTCAACAGATTGAAAGAGATCACAGGACTGTCATACAAAGTGCTATAGTTGTGACAAATGTAAGGTTGCACAGAAAGTTGATACTCATGCACCTAAACACCACCATTGTTTAATCTTTCTTTTCTTACTCCTACTTCTTGGTGCCAACTCCACAGCTGCAATTGAGTTTGAGAAAGTTTGCCGACTGCTTTGTCACATTGCCTATGAACTAATTGGATTCAGCTGATCTCTTGTGATCAGGTCGATCCTTTTCTCTGAGGATTGATCTGTGTTGCTTCTGGACTTCTGCTTCACTCACCATCTGAATGGCTTTCCCAAGAGTCAAATCTTCTTCTGACTGCAATAGATCTGACAAAGACTCATTAGCAATTCCAGCAATAATTCTGTCTTTTATGCTTTCTAACTTTATAGTTCCACTCTTATTTTTCCATTTAATATGTAAATATCATTAATGAAGTTATCAGTGAATTCTTCTGGATGGTGAACTCTTCTGTTAAATATTTTTCTTTCAAGACCTTTTTTGTTCTGAGGTTAAAATAATTGTCAAAGCTTTTCAGAAGTTCATCAGGGGTATCTGTTGCTTCTTTCAAATATTGGCAAGCTACAATATTTTTAGGTATTATCCCAGTTTGATTCAAAAGTGTATTGACTTATTCAGCTTTTGATTTGATATCTACTTTGTCAGCAATTCCATATTTTAAGAGTTCCCCAAGGTGTGCAATTGTCTGTTTTATTTGGCCCATCTCTGAATTCAAATCTTTCTGGCAATATTATTTCTGCTTCCTTCACTTTCTAGGGATTTTTTTGTTCTTCCTTTAGAGGTT